GGTGTGTGTGATATATATTCACTGAATCAATGTGTGATTTTAAAACTCTACTCACACTCGTAATGGCTATCCAAACCATTAGAAGCTCAAGTACGTTGCAAAATCAATGAAGGACTCAGTCACGCAATATCAACTTACATTGACCCTCCAGATCGTCCAGAGTTATTCCCTTTTCTGAAAGGTTTTCTGCTGTCGCAACGTTACCTGGTGAGAGCAAGGAAGATCCCTACTGTTAATGACAGATTAGGTGTTTCAAATTGATATGCACTCAAACGACCGATTTTTAGTGCCTATGCACCTCACTACATTCATTGCATAATCACATTATGTATACCATTTCTCAGTCTTCTTTCATATCAGACTCGTCAGAGACCTCAATCCTACCTGCATCCCCGGTCTCTGCACTCGCATCCTCCTCCCCAACACTGGCCTCGTCATTTTGGGTCGGGGTTGTCAACGATTGGCTCTGAGCTTGCACTTCTTTTGCATCGCCTCCAGTATCATCTTTACCATCCTCGTCGTTACCATTTTCGTTTGGAATGATGTCACCATCATTATCCTTTTGGCTCTGATCAGCGCTCTCACTTGCATCGCTAGTTTCTACCGCATCCACACTGGCCTGCTCTTCACTTGTGCTTTCGCCCCTGCTGCTCTGTTCTTCCTCCGAAGCCGTGACAGTTTGGGTAACTCCTTCTGTACTTGTTGTCGCATCGCCAGCATCATCTGTTGTAGAATCACTCTGTATTGTATGTTGACATGCCCAGAAATGAGCAGCATATAACAAACCGGACAACCACGTGCGCACTGAGATGAAAAGCGGTTGCGTGACAAGCTTCCTTGAACGATTCTATATCACTTTCTGAGTTTCAACCGCAAATCGATGCGCACACAATTGTTGCGTTGTGCCATCATATCTAATATAGCTGCTGCTGCTCAAGTATGACCTACAAGCATATATAAGGCTTACTGTAAAAAGAAGCTCGGAGTCAAGTCCTCAGAAGTGAAGGCTCTCCTAACGAGACTAATACAATCAGGACATTGCTCTCAGTCATCAAACCCACTGCGACTAATACAATTGGCACGCAAAATACAGACAAACTCTACGTACCGTTGTGGTATCAGTTGTAACTGTCCGTGCTGTATCCTTATCGATTGATACTGTGCCACCGTCAGACACAGCCTCCGATGTAGCTGTGCTTGTCGACTGTGTAGTTGCCAACTCCTTCACTGTGATCTCGAACACGAACGGGTACCACTTGCCAGTGACCCATATTCTACCCGTATCCGGGTCATATGCAATCCCATTGAGTACATCGGGACGCTTGCCGTTTGCGTAGTCCTCTCTTGTAAGTATACCCTCGAAGTCTAGCACAGAATTCACCTTGCCCGTCGTAGGATCGATTCGCAGTACGAATGGAGACTGCAGAAGTGAAGGTGGCAACATCAGATAACATGCACTGCCGATTGGAAATCCATTGGCGTTCACATAAATCAGGGATTATACATGATATACTTCGTGAATAAGCATCACCTTGATTTGAAAACTATATGTAAATAATATTTTATCGCTCCCGAATGTGCGGACGCACTATCTTGTATTTGGGGCTCATCTGGAATAGTGACGGGTGGCATAGGCTAGTCTCTAATACAAGTGTGCAGCATCAAGAAAATAAGACACTCGTTGTATCTTAGTGATTTGACCTCTGTTTATCTAAATATTCCGAATATGTAGAAAGAATCCGCCTGCTTCATATTTTGGCGGCTATGTGTATGAAAGCAGTGTCATAGACCCTTCAATGCGCAGTGGGAACGTACTTGAAGGATGTCACATCGTTAAGAACGACGAACATTTTCATATCAGAATAAAAAAGAATAAAACAAGTAAACAATAGTACCTGCCAAACGTTGGCCCATATTTCCCCGTTGATGAATTCGAGCTCGTTAATATAGTCGATCCCTTTACCGCCATCTGTTACGTGTAATCTGGGTGCAATCTCTTCCAGAGTGTCCGGTGAGAGTATGCGTATGTATTCGGACCCGTCGCTCATATATATCCAGGGCTCGGTAGGATGTACCGTCAAGCCCCAGCCCTCCCCCTTATACGACCATTTCCTCACAATCTACGTACGAGGGCAGTGTGTATGGTATGGATTAGATACGCGAAACCACTAAGGTAGGTGGATTGAACCCGGTTCGCAACAGTGGGAAAAAAATAGAGGTAAGGGCCAGATCAGAGGCTCAATCCCTGGCATGGAGGCCAAATACTGCATGCAAACCAACTCTGTAGCGAGGCGAATAATAAGTCGGCGATCAATACTTAGAATTAACCAAGGCTATAGCATATACATTACTGAGATCGCGTATCACCATGCGAATTTTAACATTACACCGTCCAAAGATCATGCTTTCAAATGTCAAGTGCAGATATACCTCCCACGTCGTTGCATCCACCACATAACCGGTGCCGGCCTTATATGTCACATGATAGAGATAGTTCTCATGTTGTACAACACCTTCGCCGAACTGCCTATCAGGTGTTTCGAAAGTATTGATTATCTCTCCAGTTTCAGGGATCCATTGCTTGATAAAGCTCTGCCCACTGTTATGTTCATTTGGTTTAAAAACAAGTCAGCGTCGTGCACAAGTCCGAATGGTCAGAAATTAACAGTGAATTCGAAGCGAAATTGGAATTCGCCTTCATACAGCTATAATTTCTTCCTAAATTAAAACCAAAATGATCGAAAACACACCTCAAGCCAGTGCTCTCAACAAAGGTTCCATTGGTATAGAAGAGCCCCTCGGTGAAAGCATCAGGATCATGAGGCAGCTTT